AGGTGTATAGTAGGCTATTCTGTCTAGGTTTGTGTGAGTACACTCTGATGTTTGCACAACAATGAAATTGTCTGATTATTCATTTCTTATAATACATCCACATCGTTAAGAAACACATGACTATATTTCAATATCTGTCATTAGTGGTGTTCTTTGGGTTTAAGGAACATAGAAATCAGAACTGGATAATTTTAGCTAAAATACAAGATTTTTAAAAGTAACTTTGGGAGGCCAGGCGTGGTGGCTCATGCCTATAATCCCAGCACTTTGAGAGGCCAAGGTGGGATGATTGCTTGCGGCCAGGAGTTAGAGACCAGCCTGGGCAACATAGTGAGACTCCCATCTCTACAAAAAAATAAAAACAAAAAATTAGCCCAGCATGGTGGTGAATGCCTGTGGTCCTAGGTACTTGGGAGGCTGAGGCAGGAGGATCCCTTGAGTGCTGAAGTTCAAGCTGCAGTGAGCTATGATCACACACCACTGTACTCCAGCTTGGGCGACAGAGGGAGACTTTCTCAAAAAAAAAAAAAAAAGTAACTTTGAGAGCAGAATATATGAAAGAAAGGGAGAGGCAGAGAGAGGAAAAAATTTTGAGACGAGATTAATTGCGGTACTATGTTTATGACAAATATTACAAGTATTTGGAGAAAGAAATAAAATTTGTGGCTTTTTAGGGGTACTAAAAAGCATGACAATTTTTCAAGTGCATAAAGACTATGCTTTAATGACAGAAATATATTTTAAATTTTAAATAAAAATGTTTATTATTACTTTTCTTCTTTAAAAACTATAGATTAGATTTAATGTTGAATGGTAGCAGAACATGCCACCCCAAAATATGCCACTTTGGCATGAAGACTATTTTAAGCTAAAGGCACTTGAGAAACAGCAGGTATAAAAGGGTCACTCTGTCCTCCCTGTACCAGGAGAGGTGACATTGTTGTCACCAGAGATGGAGAGTCAAGGCTGAGAAAAATCTGTACAAACAGACCTTGTTAAAATAACTCTTCTCTTCCTTTAGCCTTCTCATACACTTTAGTTACTTTTCCACAATCACCGCTTTGTTCAACCTACTATATAAGCATTTAGGTTTTTCCACTTCTTTGGGTCTTCATGTTCCTATGGGGGTTCCCATGTACATGTAAAAATCTGTACACTTTTCTCCTATTAATCTCACTTATGTCAATTTAATTCTCAAACCCAGCCAGAGACCCTAAGAGGGTAGAGGTAGAGTTTTGCCTTTCCTACAATGTCTGTTTTTTAAACAAAACAAACAAAATCCATCCAAAATATTTGTGGTAAATCATTTGACAATTCATTTCCCACCTTTAATCTCTTCTTAAAATTTTTTCCTCTCTCCACCTTCGAATTGTGTGTAATATCTGAAACAGACAAAAATTAGTACATTTCATATTTGTAAGTTATAATTTTTTGGAAAGGAAGAAGGTAAGAATTTGGGTTAAGCAACCACTGTCCATACAATTTCCCAAATTAAGTGATTTGAGGAGCATGGCCAAGTCACCTTATCTTCAAAAATATGTGGGACATAAGACATCAAGGATCAAGGCCGGGCACTATGGCTCACACCTGTAATCCTAGCACTCTGGGAGGCCGAGGCAGGAGGATCACTTGAGCTTGGGAGTTCGAGACCAGCCTGAGCAAGAGCAAGATCCCGTCTCTACTAAAAATAGAAAGGAATTAGTTGGACAACTAAAAATATATAGAAAAAATTAGCCGGGCATGGTGGCGCATGCCTATAGTCCCAGCTACTCGGGAGGCTGAGGCAGGAGGATCTCTTGAGCCCAGGAGTTTGAGGTTGCTGTGAGCTAGGCTGACGCCATGGCACTCTAGCCTGGGCAACAGAACAAGACTCTGTCTCAAAAAAACCCAAAAAAACCAAAAACAAAACATAAAATATTGCCTCAAGTAAAACATTTCAAATGGAAGTATGAGGGGCTCTACTATTAATAGTTATTATCATTTTCTAGGCCTTTTATCAATATAACTTGAAGGAAATAACATTAGCTTTTCTTCTTAGCTGAGAAAATAGGCTCAGGAAGTGAAGTAATTTGAATAAAGTCATATTGCTAGAAAGTGGTGAAAAGCATTAAAACCCAAGTTTGTCAGCTTCAGATGATCACATTCTTTTCACTACACTATGCTTCTTCCAGTAAGAGAAAGCTCTGAAGCTGTGTTTACCAAAGCCTATTCTGTGGAACACTAACGAGGCAAGATGTTCCACAAGCATAAATGAATGCCATGGTCAAATAACTTTGGGAAATGCCAAGCATTTTAAAAGCAGTGAAGTATTAACTTAAAAAACTATTTAATTTTATTTAACCAGCTTTTCCCCAAACTCATTTGACTATTAAACTCAGATATTTTTTCATTTAATTTTTGTCAATGTCTCTTGAAATGAATTAAAATAATCTGGCATATGCTTAGTTAAATGACTAAAAGGAAAAAGGATTAAACAAGAGCTTTAAATTAGAAATTCAGTTTGCAAAGCAACTAAAATAAAAAAAAAAAAAAACTAGCAGGTATGAGGGAAGCATTTTAGAAAGATACAGTCCGTGCTTCCAGTGTAGCTGAGATGGGGATGGTGGGTGGATTGTGAGTCAGAGGCAAAAAGGGAGATACACATGAAATAATACAGACGGCATATTTTCAGCACAAATTTTAAGTGATTCCTGTGGGCTAAAGTGGAAGGGAAGATTTGGGAGAGAAAAGAGGCTTGAGTTGGCTCCTGAGGGATGTGAAGATTTAGGAGGAGAAGAGGCCAGGAGACACTGAAAGGCAAAACATGTTTGGAGGAGAGTAAAGAATGATTCTTAGCAACTATGTAGGGAAATAAAATAGGACGGGTAGGGCTGGTCTAGATTATAGGCAATCATATAGAAATCATGAGGCAAAGAAGGGTTAAAATCATGTAGATTCTGGTCAATTAATCTGGATAAGTGTGATTGAAAAGATTTTTGAATTTTACAACTGGAAGGGCTCTTGGAGCAAAGTTAGCAATGTCTGTCTAATGAAGCAGTCAATCCTCTAATCCAGTACTCCTTGCTCTACAGACCTGACAACTGAGGCCCACAAAGGTCACTTGATTTTCCTAATGTCACACAGCTCACTGGCAGCAGGTAGGTAATCCTAACGTTTTGGGACGCTAAGATGGGAGAATCTCTTGAGGCCAGGAGTTTGAGGCCAGCCGGGTAAACATAGAGATCCTGTATCTAAAAAAACAGTAAGTAAGTAAATAGAAAAAGTTTTTTAAAAGCATACGGGATAGGGTATCAGAAGAGCTTTTCTTATAAAAAAGCGTTCGTTCTGTTAGAATCTCCACTCTACCTCATGTTATAATAATCCTTTTATTTACTATTAATACTTAGTATTAGGGGCAAATTCCCTGTTTGAAACGTGTTTGGTGCTGGGACTAGCTTCAAAGGAAGACAGTAAACAACAAATAAAAGAAATTCCACGGATCATTCCACGGATGATCAAAAAGGTAACATTGATTTGGGGTAAAATTTTGACAAAAAAGATTAGCCTAGGCCGCGTGAGCATATCTGGCCACGAAAGCACTCAAGGATATTGAAAGAATATAGAACGGGGATGGGGCGAAAGCGTTTCCCCAGAAGTCTGGGGGCCCACTTTTGGCATAAAAAGTCGGAGCACAACAAAAAACCCAGAGGACAATGTATCCGCCAATGGGGGAAAGATTATCACTCGGCCGCCTACAGTAGGCAGGGCCAAAAGATAATGTGACGGCTTTCCTGCTTTAGGATAGTCACTCTGCAGTCTGGGAGGTGGCTAGCCACGTCCGGCGCGACCGCAGGCAAAGACTACAGCTCCCGACTCCATACCGGGCGCGCGGGCTAGGCGGCCGGAGTGGGTTCACGCGCAAGGCACTGTGGGATTCGTAGTCTTTCTCCCCCCTCAGCTCATGCTCATGGTTGGGGGAAACCCTGTTTTATGCAAATGACCCGCCCTTCCCAACCTTGCTTCCCATTGCTCCCTTTCCCCCCCCCCCCCTTCTTTTTTTTTTTTTTTTTTGAGACAGAGTCTCACTGTGTTGCCCGGGCTACAGTGCCATGGCGTCAGCCTAGCTCACAGTAATCTCAAACTCCTGGGCTCAAGCGATCCTCCTGCCTCAGCCTCCCCAGTAGCTGGGACTACAGGCATGCGCCACCATGCCCGGCTAATTTTTCCTATATATTTTTAGTTGTCCAATTAATTTTTTTCTATTTTTAGTAGAGACGGGGGTCTCGCTCTTGCTCAGGCTGGTTTCGAACTCCTGAGCTCAAACAATCCGCCCGCCTCGGCCTCCCAGAG